GCTGTTCAGCTCTTTGTTAAACCAATCAGGTATTTCAGAAGGCAGAGTAACAGAGCTTTAAAGAGTTAAAAGCTGGAAGAGCACAGAATGCTTTCTCCACAAAGAAATGATAACTGTTTGGGGCAATTAGCATGCTAACCTTGATTTGGACATTGTACAAAGAAACACCATAGGGTACCTCATAAATACGTACAATCAAAAACAGTAAGTTAAGCAGGGTGGTGGTGGTGCATGCCTTTAATCCCAGCACCTGGGAGGCAGACACAGGCAGATCTCTGTGTGAGGCTAGCTTGGTCTATAAATAGAGTTCCAGGACAGCCAAGGCTACACAGAGAAACCCTGTCTCAAAAAACCTAAGTAAATAAACAACATGTTAATAAATACCAAATCTAAAGCTGGGGACTTAGGGGAAGCAGAGACAGATTTTTTTGATATAATATAATATACAGGTTAGAGGAATTCTGTTACCATAATTCAGAAATTACAATCCAGAAACAGGAGCTTCATGGTGCTAAGTTTTCCTGGTCCCATGAGAAAAAAAATTCAACATCACCATAGTTCTTCCTTCCCTCCTTGGTGGCCCTATACCTTGAACCTGTAATTGTCAGAGAGCCATCCAATGAGGGTTAAGATGTTAGTCCTGATTATAAAGTTTAGTAAGTATGGCCAACACCTACAGTTTAGGGCTAGAGAGATGGATCCACAGGTAGGAGCTTGCTACACAAGTGTGAGGACTGACTGGAGTTCAGATGCCCAAGACCCACATATAAATCAGTGGGTGTGGTAATCTCAGAACATGGAGGCTGAGATAGGAAATCCCTGGAACAGGGAGAGACATAGGGGATCCCAGGAACAATATGTCTAGCTGGTACAGCTGAACAGTGAGTTCTGGATTCAAAAGAGACCCATCCTCAATAAATAAAGCAGAGAGCAATACAACTATAGACCTCCACATTCACCTCTGCACATGCATGCACCCACATAAAGGAAACAAGCAAACATACATGCACATATACAAAAGGAAGTTCAAGTTAATGAGCCTGCCTTATTTCTATATAACTGGATCCTCAGCACTTCTGGATGTGACTAAACACAGAGAAGACTGAAAGGTATGGATGGAATGAAGCAGCTGCTTAACCAGATTCAGAAATCCAAAAGATGTTCTCTACAATGAAGGTTTAGAGATATCCTGTAACCTATTAAGAGACTGGGGCTAGCTGTGATTTACAGACTGGGAACTAGCTGTGGTCCAGTGGCCCTAAGTAAATCACAATTGTAATATTCTGTATTTTCTGATTTCAATTCTCTTCTCTCCTCCCTCATTTTTCATCTTATCCTCCAAGCCCAAAGATCCTCAAAAACAGTATGACAAAATATACAAAAGTTGGTAATTTTTTTCTAAGGAAGTATATGATGGAGAGATTTTCGGCACAAAACCCTTCTTAGAAAGGGAGCTGTGTTTGTAGGAAATTTTCTTTGATCATTGCTTAAGGATAGTGAGGAATCCAGATTAGAGCAGGCTACTTCCATGAAGGAGGCAAGCAGATGGTTTTGTGAGTTGCCCTGCGGAGAACAGGAAAAAATGGGGAAAAGATGGGTGACTTCCTGGGAGGCCTGTCACTTTAACAGCATTACAAATCAAGCTTCCAAGTCTGCCCCTGGAATTATGTAAATAATGGCAAGCAAGAAACTATTAGTATAGTAGGCCTTTCCCAGCTTTTTGCAAACAACCTGAGGAACAATACTTGTTCTAAGGTACCAGCCAAATGAGCTACACTTCTGCTATTGCCCTCTCCTTCCTGGACTTCATACTCAATCAGTTCTGATCTACTCAGTTTCCCATTTGTCACTCTTTCTTGTATTGTCTTCTATGCTTGACTGCATATTCTCTACCTAACTGCCTATGAAGAAAGTTCTAACTGTTATGTTATAGTATTACCTCAATTTGCCATGTATTCATACTTCTTGTTTCTATTATATTTTACTTTTTAAAAGATTCATAAAATTTCTTAGTGAGGCCATCTTTGACCACCTATTAAGATATTGTCAATTCCTTCCTGTCCCAGTTTCATTTCTATTGTTATGACAAACACTCTGACAAAAGGCAACATAAGGGGAAAGGGATTAAAATTTCCATTTCCAGTCCACCATTTCCAGGAAGTCAAGGCAGGAACTCAAGCAGCTAGTGACACACATCCACAGTCAAAAACAGAGAGAATAAATGTGATCTTGTTCATTTTAAGCTAGTGTTCTCTTAATATGCTGCTCAGGGAACAGTGCCATGCACAATGGGCTGTATCTTCTAACATCAACTACCATCAAGGCAACCCACGCCCCAAAGATATGTCTGCAGGCCAACTTGATCTAGATAATTCATTAAGACTCTAAGGCAGTGGTGCCACACTCCTTTAATCCCAGCACTCAGGAGGCAGAGGCAGTTGGATCTCTGTGAGATCGAGACCAGCCTAGTCTACAAGAGCTAGTTCCAGGACAGCCTCCAAAGCTACAGAGAAATCCTGCCTCGAAAAAAAATCAAACAAAAAAGAAAAGAAAAAAGAAAGAAAAGACTCTAAGGCAACTATTGATTTTATCATTTGACAGTTGAAACCAGGCAGTACATTGCCTAAAAGACTACATAGCTTACTTCTCACTTGTGTTCTCCTCTATTCTTATCAATGTTCAACATACCTTATATTTTACTGTTTGTTTTCTACCTCCCTTAGTAGTATACAAAGTTGACGGATTTTGTCTTTGCTTGTCTGCCAATCTACCCCACTCCTAGAACAGGCTTGGTCTGCAGGAAATGCCTGATAAAATATACATTGCATGAATGAATGGATGACTAGAGCTTCAGCTCAGAATCCATCTCCACCTGAAGCCTCGAGAGGCTGCATTGCATACACACCTCATATATTGTCTATTATCACATTATGCCTGCCTGTCTGTTGTTGAAGGCCTGGTTGATATGCAGACGTGAATCCCTGATGTTTTTCATGTGATACGTCATTGGATAAATGATTATGTCCCAATTTTACAATTAAAGAAATGAAGTTGGGTTTTGTTTGTTAGTTTGTGTGTGTGCATGAATGTGGAGGCTAGATTCAACAGTACTTTTCCTCAATTGCATACAACTTACTTATTTTGAGACAGAGTTTCTTGCTGAACCTGTAGCTTACTAATTTGGTAAGAGTGGCTGTCCAGCAATCCCCGGGGGTCCTCCTGTTTCTGCCTCCCCAGTGCTGGGATTACAGGTATGCATTGCTGCTGTGCCTGGCTTTTTGTTAGGATCCTTGAGATCCAAATTCGGATCCTTTCATGTAAACACTCTACAAACTAAGCCATCCTGCCAGCTCCAGGAAACTGAAGGTAAAAAGGTTAAATAACTTCGAATAACACCAGTAAGCTGCAGAGAAAAGTCACTAAAACAAAATGTTACTAAAACTAAATCAAGATCATTCCCATTTTTATCACATGACCTGTTTTCATCCTTACCTCTTACCTTCCATATTCATTCCTGCCCCAGTTTCTAATTACCCATCTTCTGCCTACTACCAAGTGCAAACTGAATCTTATTCCATGAACTTTTCCTTGGTGACTGTTATTTACATTAATTTCTTCCTATTCTACATATATCTCCCAAAATAGCTCTCAGAGTAAATAGATAAGAGTATCATAAAGGTTATATGGCCTTGAAGATTGGTTTCTCTGATTCCTAACTGCACTTCATATCATATAGTCAGGCTTTCAGGTAATGAAATAAGGAACTGATCCCACTGGCCATTAATTTGCAATTTCAGGTAGCATTCTCCTAGATTTTGCAATCTCTCCTAAGAATTTGTGTGATTAGTGATGGATGCAATAGTTTGCATGACTCAAATGGGCTACACTTTCTGGAGAACAGGAAAAATGGAGCAAATCTCCACAAATTATCTGAACTCACAACATCCCACCATTGAACTAGCATTTGGGACATCCAAAGCTTTTTCTTCTCCATGTTTTCTTCTGTTGGAAGGAGCATGCAACCCTTTAAAATTCCCAGATGAGGAGTGAAAGCTTATTCCCTGTAGGCATTTTCCCATAATACCACATCCAGAGTAGCCTTGGTTTTTCAAAAATTAGTCCAACTGTTTTTTTCTCCCCTCTCCCTCTGCAAAATTTACCAATGTTAGAAACTGATCCCCCTACACACACACACACACACACACACACACACACACACACAGAGTAGTCCTTGGGAAGTAACCCAAAGGTTGATTATACTCAGAAAAGTTTGCAATTTTTCATTTTATCCTGTCTTAAGGTGAGACAATCGCAACCCAAATCTGCAAAAATCTACAATATTCCTTCTCTAATGTCTGTGCTTTATATCTTTGACACCTTATCATCTTACTCAGTGACAATATGCCACTCCAGTGTGTAACTGTACCCTAATAGTTGGTCCTTATTTGTGGACACAAAATATGCTGAAATATGTATGATTTGGGAAGGAGCGAACTGAAAGTGCAGGTCTGGCATTAAGCTACTTGAGTTCAAATCCCACCTCTGTCATTTATTAGCTGTCTGCCACTAAGCTCCTTAATGGCTCTAAGTCCCTCTTTCCTCATCTTAAAACAGGATCTATCATTAGTATAAAATAATAACGTATGTTGAGTACTTTACAAGCTTTTTGTCCAAGTGCCTCTTATCTAAATTGTCAAAGAAGAGCCAACATGCTGGGCAAAGAGTTTTGTATACTGTAAACGTCCGAAGATACAAAGAACCAGTGAGATGGGTAAAAACCAATGAAGATCAAACCCCATCCCCTCCTCCTCGAGAAACCCGGTTCTGTGTGAACTAAGGCCAGGACCCTTCACCTCATCGCTGTATTGACATAAATACGAATCGCTGAGAACAGCCCTAACCCAGAATATACCTAATACAGGGAGTTTTATACACAGCCCAGACCTTACAAAACATTAGTGGGCTTCGAACTCTGACCCTCGATTCCAATTAAGCCTTACAGTCAGTCCTGTCTGGGATTTCCATAATGATGGGTTGGCAACAGTACGATGGGAAGTGTACCCTTTTGGCGTCTTCTGTTTTCTTTACTTGGAAATAGCAGTACGGGGAAACGACGCGCTAGGACCCGGGGGTCCTCTAAGAAGCGAGCGCGGGCCCAGAGATCGCGAGAGGCTGTTTCCGGCAGGACCGCATTCGGAGCGCTCCGGAGCGCCGCGCCTGCGCACTGAGCCCGCCGCCGAGCCGACCCCGCGGACGAGCTGCTTGCTGTCTTCGCGAGCCCCTGGCTTTGAGATGCGCCGCTGGCGGGCCCTTGCCAGCTCCAGGTGCGTGTGGAGAACCTCAGGAGCCTGCGTGCGAGGTGGGGTGAACCCCCGGGAGGGTCGGGCCTGCCTCCACCCCGCCGAGGTTCCCGGGGAACCGAACATGGTGCCACGACCTCAGCTCCTTGCGTGTGCTTCGTGGGGGCGGTAAACTCAAAAGAGCCGAGCCTTGTGCCGGTCCTCCTGGGGTCGAATCACTCACTTCCCATCTTTTCACTCAGCTCTTCCCTGCTCCCCATCTTCTGGCTGCAGTCAGTGGAGCTTTCACCCTTGCCCATGCCAGGCATGGGTTTTTACAGCCTCTGAACTCAGCTGCGGGAGATTAGGCTGAAAACATAGTTCAAGTTTAGGGAAAGGTGGTGGTTCAAGGCCAAGAGAGTGGGCCATGGGCAGAACAAGGTAGAAAGAGGCTAAGCCTGTTGTAAATGTCACCAGAGATAATTCTCCAAAAGGAACGTTTTTCTCGGGTGTGTCATTTCGTTTTCATTTACTTTTGAGATACATTTGAGGTGTCTTTTCAATGGTGTTTGCTAAAACAGCGGTGCTTTCAGCCCCAAGACAACATTGGATTTTATTGATGTCAGTTTTTATAGTGACCTGGCTTAGTGTTGTTTGAGCTGTTGTCATGATACCTGGATTGGGTCATTGAGCACATCCACTGGTTTGTATTGTTTAACATTAAAAAACAAATAGCCTTAGTGTATTTTTTTTTTTTTTTTGAATGATGACAAGTTCAGTGGAGAGAAAAGAATCAGTTGAATGGGATTAAACCTCCAAGTGCTTAGGGGCATTGTGCTTGGAGTGTGGAAATCCCTGACCTTTTACTTATAAATAGGAAGTGAGATCATCACTTGCCACCAATGATTCTGACAAGGTAGGGTTTTCAAGGGCCTTCCCAAAGCAAGTGATAGGAATATCTCATACTAGTGGTGGCTTCTCAGACACAAACTCTTTTGGGCACAGTGGCTATAGGTGGCCAATTCCTGTTATCAATAATAGTGTAAAACTTTTTGTTTTGAGAGAGGTGATATTTTATAGAAACAGTAACCCAGTGAAAGGAGAAGTATATAAGGAGAATAGAGAAGTCCCTACTCCAGGCCCAAACAAACACTGTAGCTTCACTGTGGCAATTATGAGGTTTTGCTTACCTGCTTCATGGAGAAGCACATATCAGACTTAGTTCACTTCTTTTCCCAGCCCTCACCAGTCCTCCCCCTGGCACACTGGCCTGTAGGAGTCAGGAGCCCTTAGAAGATTTTCTCTTGTGCACTATATCCTTTTAACACTCACTTGTCTTTCTGTTTAAAGACACCACTGGGGAACTGGTTCCTTTTGTCCCACTTATACTGTTGTAGCAAGTGAATAAAGGTTTGATGATTTAAGGTTGGCTCATTGTCCTGATTGACCATCTTGACATTTGTTGCTCATAATTAATTGCCTGGCAGGAATTAGATAAATTGCTGAATTCTTTGCAGTACGATGGGTTTATGATAATTTTAGTTCTCGTAGCTCTTTACTCTATGCCAACATGTTTAGGAACTTTTGCAAGTTGTTCACTTTTTAGTGTGTGGTTTTTTTTTTTTTTTTTTTTTTTTTTTTTTTTTTTTTTTTGCTTTAGCTGAGTGAAGTAAAAATACTCATGGCCCCAACAGCTGTTTGTTGCTGGGATATATGATATATTTTATAAATTAATAGAGTGATTTATGGTCTGATTGTCTTTTCTTATTCAAATGCCATTTTCCACTTGACCACTAATACAATAATTTTGCATGTATATTTTAAAGTAGTATGACCAAGGAAAGAAAACAGGACTCTGTTGCTTTCTTTAGTACTCTTGCCTGTGGTCTCTGATCTTTGTCACTCTAATAGATTCTCATTGAACACAGTCATTGATTGATTGATTTGTAGGTTCCCCTGCCTAGTATTGTGTGAATGCAGATGTAAGGAACAGCTTTCACATATCTTTTAACTTCTTCTGCCTGAAGTTTCAGAAAACAATTTTTATACTTGCTAGATGATATATACACTCTGGGACTTTATGCTCTATTAAACAAATTGGTCTGATCATCAGCCACTCTTGACTTTACAAACCAGTAATGAGCATGGTCCTGAGTTTGAAAAGCACTGTGATAAGCAACAAGTGCAAAATAGTCTCTCAAATTGTGTTTGTTTCTTAATCAGACTACACAGTGACTGGGTTTGATTTTGTGTTTAAGGAGCCTTCTAGGAGAGATGATGAGCAACACACAGGTTGACTGCTTGCCAAGTCAGCAAACAAAAAAGTTCTGAGTTTCTTGTAAAGTTGTAAAATATACTATAATGAAAGAACTGGTGAAGTTTTGTTTTGTTTAGTTTTTGTCTTAATTGCTGGCTTAGTATAGGCTAAATGGAATAGTAATAAAAGGAAGAAAATTGTCTTTTCTGGACAATGATATGTGAGAATTGTGAAATGTTTTTTAGTTGTATGTGTCTCTTCTCAAAGACTTCTGTAAAGAATACATCTTAGACTAGAGTGACCTATTTTGAATATTGCCTGATGAAGGAACCACACTAAACATTCTGTTCTTTATTCATAAATACATATGTAAGTATGCAATTTGTCAACCTCATTCTTTGGTACCTTTTTTTAGGAAGCCTTCAACAAAGCAGAAGGGAGAAGTAAACTAAATGTAGTATGTTTATCTTAGAAACATACCGAATTATTAAGGAGATAAGAGTCACAACCTAAAATGTGGTTAATCTTGGGCTCAGTAATATCTCACATTTCTATGGTGTTTCACAGTTTTCTGACACAGGCATATACATTATTGCCATTGACTTTTACAGATGCTTGGTATGGAAAAAGACATTGCTCCAGTTTAAAGAATCTCGAATTCCCTTTTTCCTGACACATAAATTAGACAGTGACAAATTTAGGATTAAAACTCAAGTCTTCTACGAATATTATTCTTGTTGTCCTTGTTGATCTTGAGAGATAATTGAGAGTAATTATTTAATTTTTATTTTATTTTGTTTTATTGTATTTTGAGACAAGGTCTCATTTTGTAGTGCTGACTATCCTGGAACTCACTATGTAAATCAGGGCAGCCTTGACTCACAGAGCTGGGATTAAAGTCATATGCCATCAAGCCCATTGAGAATAGTTTTAATGTTGTGTTTCAACCATTTAAATGAAATGTTCTATGCTCAGAGCATGGCTACATGGTGTGCTATTAATTCAATGCAAATATGTCTTTGTTTTAGTATTTTAAATCTTACCTTTTAATTGATTTAAAAATATTTATTTATTAGGACAGTGCCTCGATAGCTGAGGCTTGCCTGAAATTGCTGGATGGCCCATTTTGGCCTCAAACTCATGATCCTTCCTATGTCTAGTCTGTGATTGGTGGTCTTATAGAAATGTACCATAATACCAGGTACTACTACTGATGATGCTACTACTATTTTTTCTCCTTATTCTTCTTTTTTATGACAAAATAACTCATTAACACATCTAATAATGAAGGAAGAAAGTTAGAAGTAAAAGGGCTATTTAATGTTAAAAAATTCATGTTTGGTCCTTTTTAAATATAGCTTATTAAGTAGAAAAGTAGAACTTTAGATATTCTCAAGAATTGTATCTGTTTAAAATTAGTTCTATGATTCTAAAGAATTCAACTAAGACAGTTGTTAAGTTACTTGGAAACACAAGAAAATCCATATTCTCCCTTACTTTTAATCCTTGCCTAAGGACAACCGAATTACTTGCTGCCTAAGGACAACTAACTTAATTTCTTTTGTACAAATCTGAAAATTAATACTTTTTTTTTTAATTTGTAGATGTTTGTGGAGCTTAACACCATGGAGCTCTTCAGAATATACCACTGAAGAATATGATGGCTGAAAACAACTTAAAAATGCTGAAGATTCAGCAACGTGTAGCAAACAGACTGCCTAGGAACAGGCCGTATAGTTGCAATATTTGTTTGAAGCACTTTGAAACACCATCAAAATTAGCTAGGCATTATCTCATTCATACCGGTCAAAAGCCGTTTGAATGTGATGTATGCCATAAAAACTTTAGACAACTAGTTCATCTGGAGAGACACCAGTTAACTCACAATCTGCCTTTTAGTTGTACTATTTGCCAACGCCACTTTAAAAATCTGAAGACATTTGTGAAGCATCAGCAACTTCACAATGAATCCTATCACAATGATGTTAAAGTCAGAAGATTGCTCGAGACCAAGCAAGAGAAGCCTGTGTATGGAATGTATAATACTTTTGCTTCAGAGGAAAGACGGGCACTACACGCATGCTCTAAGTCTGATCCCACATACAGCACTACAAAGAGAAGAAAGCATATTCATGCGTGTACAATCTGTGGCAAAATGTTTCCATCACAATCAAAACTTGATAGGCATGCACTTATTCATACTGGGCAGAGGCCTTTTAAATGTGTCCTGTGCAGTAAATCTTTCCGACAGTCAACTCACTTAAAAATCCACCAACTCACACATTCAGAAGAAAGACCTTTTCAATGTTGTTTTTGTCAAAAAGGATTTAAGATTCAAAGCAAACTTCTGAAGCATAAACAAATCCACACTAGGAATAAGACTTTTCAGAGTCTTTCTATAAAAGTAAAGAGTCCTGAATCATGTCCACTACCCAATAAATTAAATGCAAAGCAGGATGCTTTTGAAAATGGTGATATGGGTGAATCTGAGGAGAATAATCCTCTTGATGTCCACTCTATTTATATCGTCCCTTTTCAGTGTTCTGAGTGTGAAGAATGTTTTGAGTCAGAGCAGATTCTCAATGGACACAAGTGTCTTCCTGCCAGAGGTGGCAAGATTCCAAAGAGGCTCAAAAGAAGCTGTAACTATAAGACCATTGTTAAAAAGCTCTTGGCTAAACTTAAACGTGCTGGGGGTAAAAAATCAGATAACCTTCAATCAGAGAAAAGAACATTTAAAAGCAACTGCTTGAAAAATTGTGAACATCCTTCTGGTGAGCAGAACATGGAAGAAACTCAGAGAACATTTGTGAGTTCCCTTGGCAGACATGGATCATGTAAGGCATCTAGCAAAAAGAAGAAAACACTAACTTTGCCATTTTCTTGGCAAAAGCAATTCCAGAGCCAAAATATGGGTAAAAGTTTGCAAGGTATCTTTACAACAGGAAGCATATTAACTATGGATGGTTCAGCGAATAAGAAAGACTTGTCAATCTGTGGTTCACCAGGTGAGGGATACTTTAATGACTGTGACATGCTTCAGTGTGGCTTTTCAGATTCCAGTGAAAATGCACATACTGGACATAAAATGTGCCCCTGTGACAAATGTGAGAAAGTGTTTCCTTCTATCTCTAAACTACAAAGACACTATTTAATTCATACTGGACAGAGGCCTTTTGGCTGTAATGTGTGTGGGAAATCTTTCAGACAGTCAGCTCACTTAAAAAGACATAAACTAACTCATATTGAAAAGATTCCCTATAGTTCTTTTTGGCAAGTGGACTTTGGAAATGTGAACAAACTTTTCATTCGTCCAAGTGATGATGTTAGCTATAATGCTTCCCAACAGTGTGACGGGCTTAGTTTCCAAAAGTATGACGGCTCAGAGTCCAATCAGGTATCGGGAATTGAAGTCAAGGCAGAACCAGAGGATTTCCTTATCAGTACCCACTGTAGGAACAGGCAGTCTTACCTCACTAACACACTTTTGGAGTCAGAGCAGAGCCATCACTGTTACAGTTACTTAGGCCGTCCTGAAAGAAGTGATGGGCTCCTTTACCAGTGCAGTGTTTGTTGTAAAAATTTCCGATCTCCATCCAAACTAGAAAGACACTATTTAATTCACGCAGGGCAGAAACCTTTTGAGTGTTCAGTCTGTGGCAAAACATTCAGACAAGCACCTCACTGGAAGAGACATCAGCTCACTCACTTTAAAGAGCGACCACAAGAGAAAGTTGTTCTAGATTCAGTTGTGTAACACAAAACTACTAATGCATTTGTGATCTCTGGTGATGTAATACATTTTGAGACATTTTGCCAGAGGTCTACATTAGGTAGAGTGACATAGACAGCTGCTTGTCTTGCATAATCAGGAGTAAGTTAAATAAAACCACAGTGTTTCAGAAACAACCCAATGACTTGAGAAGAAATAGAGTGGTTTGCCGTAACTAGATAACTGAAGTTACCAGCATTCAAACTTGGTTGTATTAAAAGTTACAAATCTATCATATTCAATTTGGCCTTATTTCTTGAATTATTCCTTAAGACATAGTGTGTCTCATATATATATATATCCCAAGATGAGGCCAGAATTGCCAATCAGCTATAGTAAATCACCTGCCTTTTATTTTACATGGACACTTAGTTCTATTGCAAAACATTTTTCTTACAAGTTAAAAGATAAAATGACAATGGAAATGGGTGGGGGAAATTGCAGCTTTAATTTTTCATAGTGAGTTTTTGAGACTGTGTGGTAATTTTTGCCTTCTTAGACAGAAGTGCCCCCTCCCCATTTAGGCTGCTGTTATTTTTCTGTAAGGAATTTAAAAGTAAGAAGCAAGTGGGTTACACCCATGTGTATTTACCATCCAATACCATTTATGCTAACAAGGGTATTTCCCAAGTGCCATGAGCTTTTCCCATATGTCTGCAGTTGTATCTTTCTAGGCACTTAAATGCAGTGCACTTCTTTGCTCATTAGTGTTTGACAGCAGTGGCCAGGAACAAAACTTTGCTTGAATACTTCTTTGAGTGGCCCCATGACAACTAAGTCTGTTCTGTTAAATTTGATCAAATGACAATAGCTATGTAGTTTGAGTTTCATTCCTCTTGAAAGACACTAATACTATAGTATTATTTTGATCTTTGTTGTTCTTTCAGTTAGTAAGGATATTACCCCTGTATAGGAATAAGACGCTGATAGAGTTCAGGACATCATTTTTTCCGAAGAGTTACTGCCATGATTTGACAAAAATACTTCATTTAACCCTAATCCGTGAGAGAAGTATCTTAGTCACAGATATTCCTTCACATTGGTGGCAGTTTGTTAAATCATTGACTAACATCTAAAGCAATGCAAAGATTAACTATACTGCTTCTAAGGTGAAAGGAAATAGGCTGGTGTTTAGCACACTTAAATATAGTGAAAAGCCTGCTCTTGGAAGTGTGGGCAGTGGAATAAGTGTAAGTTTCGATCATGGTGCAAGAGCTGTACTTTGTGAGGGGAGGGAAAGGGAAAAGCTTTAAGCCAATCGAACCTTAAGAAACTTGGGTTTAAATTGAGGAGGTGAAATGTGATGGTCTGAGTAAATAAATACCCAGATGAAATACAGATGTGCCTATTTTTAAGTAGAGATGTTCATCTAACAAGGAGAGCCACATGCTTCAAGGAATAGCTCCTCTGCTGTTTCTTTGAGATTTGATGTGTGTTTTTTCCGGCACACGAAAGCTGTGGTTCACAGAATTGGCTTTGCACAGAACTCTGGAAGGACATGTCTGTTGGAAAAAGTCAAAGCATAAGTAGTTCATGTTTTCTAAGAGTAAACAGTCAAGAATTACTTAATGTGTGAAATTATGGATTTGGGCATTTCCCTAAGTTATTTATATAATTTTATTTGAAGGGGAATGCTTTACATGTTTCTTTCCCACCCAAACAGGGAGAGTTGAATGTTGTGCTCGTATGACTATTAATCTTTGCCTGAGTAATAATAAGGTACCTTTTTTGTTTTGTTTTGGATTTTTTTTTTTGGCTCATGCCTTTTAAAGCTGTTTCATATTGAAAGTTGGAATATTGTAAAAATTTTGTCAAGAGATGTACTGTAGTGCTATTTGAAGTACCTGTAACAAAATACTTACCTTACTATCATTGCAAGCTTCTAATGGGAACTGTAGAAGTGAAAATAAAGTGTGAATTTATGTTCAGATAAACATGTTAAATGATTTGTTGCATGCTAGAACTGTACTTATTGTTGACTCAATTATTTTGATTTTCTGGAAAAAATAAACTTTATAAATATCTTTTAAGAGAACTAGAATGTTTTTGTTTGAGTGATTCCAGGATTTAGCATGGTTATTTACTGAAGGAGTTTGATTAGCTGAGCTAAAGCAATTACTGCTTCATGTTTCATACTGCAACCATGTCTATGATTTTAATATGTGATATGTTGATGGAAAGTAGATATGGTCAACGTTCTTGAAAAACTCAAATTGCAGAATAATTTAAAAATAAAGTTTCAAGTTACACAGTTTGCACTTTTTTTTTAGAGGAAAAATCACATAACATTGGACGAGCTACCAGTACCACTTTCTACACTGAGCTTACATGCTTGTCTAATCATGTACTTCATGTCTTAAAAACAATTTCCTTTTAATGGTGTGTGTTTGTATGCAGTTATGTGTGTGTGAGTGTAGATAGAGATGGAGGTCAATCGAGGCATCAGATCCCTTGGAACTGGGTTTCCAGGTGGTTGTGAGCTACTCTGTGTGGGTTCTGTGGACTGAACTTTCGCCCTCTACAAAAGCAGTATGTGGTCTTAATTGCTCAGCCATCTCTCTGGCTCCTGTACATCATTTATTTGTGATATCACTTCTGAAAGAATATGTTAATTCCATTGCTTGTCTTATGACCTACCTACTTAATCTATTTACCAACCCTTCTCTTTGACTTCCCTCTCCAGATTTGTACTAATAGAATTGACTTCTCCAGTGCTTTACCACAATTCTTTCTGCATCTCTGTTGTCTATCTAGTATTAGCTTAAATTAGACACATAGTCACACTCTTAAAAGAAATAGCTAAGTCAAGCTTTATTCCTTTCTATTTCCTTAAGAGTTGTGGGAGAAAAGTCCTTAAAATTGATGCAGGAAAACAGAGGTTCCATTATATATTATTTAAAACAACTGATTAGAATGAAAGATCTTTTAGGGCAGATCAACAACAGGCTTGGAAGTCAAGGGACCTCATAAGAATCCTTTGTTGCCAGGCAGTGGTGGCTCATGCCTTTAATCCCAGCCCTCAGGAGGCAAAGGCAGGCAGATCTCTGGGAGTTCGAGACCAGCCTCATCTACAAGAGCTAGTTCCAGGACAGCCTCTAAAGCCGCAGAGAAACCCTGTCTCGAAAAACCAAAAAAAAAAAAAAAAAAAAAAAATCCTTTGTTACAAATAATACTGCGAGATCTGTTTTATGATGTTGAATAGTGTTTGCCTTTTAGAGGCTTCAGGAAGAGAGGACAGTTAATCCTATCTTGTGATTGCTTGTCAAATAGAAGAGCTTAGAATTTCAGTACTAAGTGGAATTCTGTTAACACTGGGGAAAACAAGGAAACAATTGGAAAGAACAGTGGAACAATGGTATTAAGTGGGATATACAGCATGTCAGTGTCTTGCAGCTAAACCAACAAGCTTCTGTTGGTTCTCAAAGTTCAACTTAGTTGTCTGGTAGCCTTTTTGATTACCCAGCCATCCCATTCCCAGGGCTTCCAGTACTTTTTGCTTACAACTCATGTTAATTCTCAGTTACAGCTTAATAAATGCCTGAAACCATCACCTTCAAAAATGGAAAGGTTTGCTGTGGCCCTAAGTCTTGGAGGTTTTATTTATGTAGTTCACATGGTCGGTTGGCTGCTTATCTTTAGGCATATGAGAAAGTGATAGATACATCATGGCAGGAAGTATGTGGTTGAGCAAACATCTTACCCTATGGCAATTGCAAAGTACAGAAAGTGAGCACAACAGACAGTGTCCTACAATCCCTTCCAAAGACCTGACTCAGCTGTAAATGTCACTGTAATATGCTTTCTTGTAGGGACCACCAGCCTGCAAATATGACACAAAGACTTATTATTAATTATGAAAGCTTGGCCTTAGCTTAGGCTTGTACCACCAGCTCTTATAACTTAACCCATTTATTTTCATCTAGATTCTGTGGCATGCCTTGTTACCTCATCTTTCCATACTGCCCATGATATTGCTTCTGTCTCTGGCTGGTAACTCCACCTTTCTTCTTACCGGACCCATCTCTGTCCCCGAAAGTCCCACCTTACCTCTTCCTGCCTAGCTATTGGCAATTCAGCTCTTTATTAAATGAATCAGAAGGTGCTTTGGCAAAGACACATCTTCACAGTGTAAACAAATATTCCACAGCATGTCACACTAGACCTCACTTCTTGAAGGTTCCCATCGCCTTCTAATAGCACCACGCTGAGGATCTGTTGTTAACACTTAAGCCTTGGGGGGGGGGGGTTATTCCAGGTCTAGACTATTGTCACTGTTAGTAGTCACCACAGTCTCCAAGCTTTCATGTGAATTAGTTTTATTAGAAGGTTTGATGGCTGCACTTTACAACAGGGTTTCTAATTCGTTAGATTTGAACCCGCAGTGCATTTACACAGGTTGCTGTTTTGAGACATTTTTAAAATACAGTGATGAAGAAAAATGGAATGCATCCCTTTGATGCTTGCTACAGTATCGGGAAAACACATTCTCAAATGCAGCTTGAGTGTAAAAGAAAGAAGTTAGTGAAGAGTTTACTACAAACATTTAATATTCTCCAGGTATTTTTATTTTTCTTTTTACTGAAAAGACCCCTATAATATACAAGGCAGGCAGCACAGAAATTTCTGAAGCAAATCAAATTATTTCAAAATAAAGAAAAATATCTGTATATCGTATTTTTATGTAATCATGCAAATTGTCTCTGAGTATGTTCATGAATGGAGGAGTTGATTGGTGGAGTTTATCTCGGAAGCCAGTGGTGGAGATTGAGGAAGAGGGTTCTGGGAGGACACGGGATCCCTTGTGAGCTCAGTTCCCTTTCCTGGGGTGAGTAAATGGTTTGGCAGTCTTTGGTCAGAATTGGTGGGGGTTGAAAGGGTGGCAGGGTGCTTATCAACAGGAGGGAATGGGGGAGGGGCAAAGTGGCAGGATGGAGGCAATTTCCTACCTACCTCTCCACTGCTGCCCCACCCTTGGGGCATATTTCTGCTTGGCTTGTGGGGAGCCTGTGTATGTATGCTGCAGCCAGCCCCAAAGCAAACAATGTTTGATCTGGCCAAACAATCTAGAGGTAATTTTTTAAAATCTGTAACCTCATTCAGATCCTTGCATATACTTTCAGAGGGTGTGTTTGCCTTAAATTATGTTTCAATCAAAGCCAAATCAAATGCTCTCCAAACTCCTCTCACAAATGTCTCTCCTGAGTCCTCTTTCTCGCCATCTTTCTCAGAATGTTCCTCCATCTTCTTCCTTATCCCTTTCTAGAAACTTTGGTTGTCCCATTTTTCCTAATGTCTAGTTTTCTGCTTCTCTGTTGATTCTTTTACCTCTAAATAACGGGCTTCTAAAAAGCCCATGTTTTCCCATGGTAAGATGCTTTTGGTTGAAAGTAACAGGTCACTTGACTCAAACCACTTGAACAATAAGACTTGTAGTTGGTTGGTTTTTACTCTTTGGGGGTCCTGCCACCAAGCTCCCAAATAAATCCACAATTTTATTCTTTCTAATGGATGCCCGCCTTAGCTTGGCTTATTTCTATCCAGCTTTTCTTAAGTTAAATCATTTTGTCTATCTTTTGCCTCTGGGCTTTTACCTTTCTTTATTTCTGTATTCCTTCCTTTACTTCTTGCTCTTTGGCTTGCTGTATAGCTAGGTGGCTGGCCGCTGGAGTCCTCCTCCTCTTGCTCCTCTATCTTTTTCTTCCCAGATTTCTTCTCCCATTTATTCTCTCTGCCTGCTAGCCCTGCCTATCCTTTCTTGCCAAGCCATTGGTCATTCAGCTCTTTATTAGACCAATCAGGTGTTTTAGACAGGCAAAGTAACACAGCCTCACAGAGTTAAACAAATGCAACATAAAAAATGCAAAACATCTTCAACTAATATTCCAAAAACACTTACTGGCTCCCGTGACTTGAAATCCACTGACAGACAACCATGGAGCTGTCCAGTCACATTCTTGAATTATTCTGCTTCCTTCTGTCTGCTCTGCCTTTCATGGTGACATGCTGTTTTCCTTGTGATTTTTGAATGCTTTGTAACATACCTCAGCTTCCTTCATGGTAGGGAGAGTAGGGATCCAAGTTACAAGAACAGAATGTAACTTTCTCAGAATGTCAGCAAACCTCACCTCTACAATCTCCCTCCCAGGCATGCTCCTGAAGCAACAGCAGATACAGACAGAGGAGTTAGGTTTGACTCCATTGGTACTAGTGTTACATATATGAAGATGGAAACTGGTGGAATTTGAGGGTGTACTTGAAGAAAAAATGAAAAGACAACACCATCCTTGTACCTAGCTTAAAAACAGGGTTGGCGGGAGGGGGGGGGGCGTGTAGTTCATTGGATAACAGGATTTGTTAAGCAAGTTAAGCAAGGGCAAGGATCTGAGTTTGAATCCCCCACATGCACACCTGTGTAGCCCCCACACTGAGGTTGGGAATGGAAAGAGGTGGACCCTGGGGGCTAACTCACTGTCCAGCCAGTGTAGCAAACAGCAAACTCCAGATTCAGTGAGAGACGGTGTCTCAAAAAATAAGTAGAACATGATAGAAAAAGACACCTGATATTGACCATTGCAGTTCACATGCACCTAAATGGGCACAGTGTACACCCTCACATACTTGGGACACATGTATGATCACATGCAAACATGAAAGGGCAAAACCCTGGCTACTGTGGTGCTTCAGCCTTCTCACTTTACCGTCTGCCTCCTTTGCATCTTCACTTCTGGTTCACTTCTTAGTCTTCCGTTGCCTGGTATCCCCCACTTCCCACTGTATTCTTGGGATCTGCCTTCTCAATAGTTGCTGAGCGGGTGTTGTTGGTTACAGTGACATCTCTCCTACACTAGATCTGGGGCAGACTGAGTCTAATTGCAGCCCAGCAGTCAGGCATGATCTGTCCAAATCTGTTAGTCTATTCTGTCTCTCATTTTTTTCATCACCCAGATTGTCTCTGGGGTAAACACTGACCTAAGGAGATGGTCAGAGTGGATGCTTGTACTTAATTCAGATTGAAGACGGAAAGAGTACACATAG